CCAAGACAGCCAGAGAGCTCGTCGGCAGCCTTCCGCGGGGAACAATAGATCCCGTGAATATACAAAACACAAAAGAAATGCGACGTCAAAGCGAGTAGCAACCGGATGGTTCGAGGCGGGGATTGAAAGCAAGCCGGGTGGCGAAAGAAGCATGCGAGCATGGCCGTAAGTGTAGGAGCACGATGATATGTGAAAGGGGTATGTGCAGCACATGGGGCATGTCCGTGAATACGTGAATTGCGTGCGATTCGAGCGGGTTCCGGATTGGGCGTGGTGTGTCTGGGCTAGGTGCTCTTATGGTGTAATGGTTAGCACTCTTGGACTCTGAATCCAGCGATCCGGGTTCAAATCCCGGTAGGAGCTTGATTTTGTGCCGGCGTTGCAAGCATAGTATGTAGCGATGGCGCCAGCTGTCGTGTGGGGCTGTAAGATCATCGTTTAATATTTTGTGTGCAGATTGGCGAGATAAGTGCTGGTCTATGGTGTATGGTAGCACTCTGGACTCTGAATCCAGCGATCCGGGTTCAAATCCCGGTAGGACCTCGTTTTGCACCGCTCCTACCGGCCCCACAACGCCCCAGTTATTGCTGCGCTGCGCACCTGCCACACGCTATAGCCGCGTCACGTTGTGTTGCCGTGGTGTGTTGTATCGTGTCCCGGCGATCCGCTGCCGATTTAAGTGGTAGCTGCTGCTCTGGCAGAGCTCACCAAGCCTAACTGCCGACTTCGCTGACTGCACTACCAATTCTCCAAGACAGCCAGAGAGCTCGTCGCAGCCTTCCGCGGGAACAATAGATCCCGTGAATATACAAAACACAAAGAAATGCGACGTCAAAGCGAGTAGCAACCGGATGGTTCGAGGCGGGGATTGAAGCAAGCCGGGTGGCGAAAGAAGCATGCGAGCATGGCCGTAAGTGTAGGAGCACGATGATATGTGAAAGGGGTATGTGCAGCACATGGGGCATGTCCGTGAATACGTGAATTGCGTGCGATTCGAGCGGGTTCCGGATTGGGCGTGGTGTGTCTGGGCTAGGTGCTCTTATGGTGTAATGGTTAGCACTCTGGACTTTGAATCCAGCGATCCGGGTTCAAATCCCGGTAGGAGCTGAAATCATTATCCCTTCGTGCTTTTGTAGTTCTGCCACCAATTTAGCCGACTGTGCCGGCGTATGACTACTCGACTTGACGTTTGCAGCGCCATAGTCGAGTTCGGTAGGCTCAACTTCAGTGAGGTCGGGAAGGAAGGCCAGCTCGTGAGCGTAGTCCGTCAATTCCAGATCTGTCCCACTACGCTCAAAGGCGTTGGTCGTGCCCTCGTCAACATCATCCTCTTTCTCGTCTTCGGTCGCAGCGATAGCCAAGTAGTGTTGTTTCAGGGTCTCGGTCGGGTCTCTCGTCGAGTTGCATTCATCGTCTTCAGCTTGTCCTAAGCCATAGTCAATTCCGCCGGGGTCAAACACCGTCGCCGCTGAGTTCATTACTCCGACCTCAGCTATAGTACCTTCCAACAATGATACCTCTGGTACTTCATAGTTGTCGTCCGCGTCAAGGCTCGCATTCGTTGAGTTCACTGTGACGGACGATCTTACTCCTTCGTGTTCAAACTTGTCCCCGAGGTTGATGTTATCGTCGTCATGCTGTCTAACCACTTCCGAACCGGTTTCAGCCTCCACAGTTTCCAACGCCGAGTCCGCCGTAGCTGGGTCGTCGTTCGGCTTTATTCCTTCAGGTAGTAATACCTCCCAACTATCATATTCCTTGGTCGCGTCGGAGTGCTCATCCGCTGAGTCGGTTATGACGGCAGAGCTGACTTCCGTGCGTGTAAACGCGCCTTCAGTATAGCTGACATCCTGACGACATGCTGTAACCACGTCCGAGGCACTCTCAGTGTTTAGATATTCTGACGTCGGGTCTGCCGCCGCCGATTGGATAATGCAGGCTTCCGGTGTACCCATCGCTGAGCTCACCACGGCTGCAGAACTTGGTCCTATTATTCCGTACTTGGCTCGGTTGTCAGCAACGGGTTCAACGTCACATAGGGCTTGTTCCGAGCGTTCTTCAAGGCCTCCTGCCGTTATAGCTGAGTCGTCAGTCGCCGACGCGTCTTCCGTGGCCCTTACTTCACTTGTTCCTTCGACCGCTGAGTTCGTGTTGACGTCAGAAATGGCGCCATCGTCTTCAAACTTGGACAGCTGATAGGAGACATCTTGGCCATCGTGTAGCACCGACGTATGGTCCGCTCGGACATCTTCCAGCTTGAACGCTGAGTTTATAGCCGGGTCACCCCTTGTCACCCCTGAAGTCGATATCCCGAGACGCTTTCCACCTCCCCAGGTAGCCTCGCTAACGGGTCCATACGCATAGAGTCCG